AATAGTTTCTTTATAGGATTTAGCGTATATGTAGTAACTATTTATTAATAGCTTGTTTTCTCTTCAAAGCTGTAAACTTTTCTAGGGCAGAGTATGTTTTATTTGCACTTCAGCATCTTGCATGTAGATTCTCAAATATCATTCACAATATTTCTCATATTTAAGATGTGTGTGTTCCCATAAAATTGAAAGACCCATATGCCAGCGTGGGTGTCTTAAAATGGGTTGGCTAGGTTCCAAGAGTGAGCATCTCCAGGGAACAAGGCAGAAAGAAGTGCATGCATTCTGGTTTGGGGATTTAGGTTATTAGTCAAGATAGCATGGAATTTCCCCCAAATTCAAAGTGAAGCAATAAGGACTGACCTCTTTCAAGGAAAAATATGATGATCACATTAGCAGGAGAACATATGACATGGAAACTCATTGTTTTACCTGGGCTGTGGGAGCTCCATTGTCTTGGCTGTCTGTGAGCTCTGGAATCTGTCTGCTGGCCATTTCCCTTATACAAGTGTAGCCTGAGCAGTAGGGATGTCTGTGGATGTCTGCAAGTCATCTGCAAATTGCAGATCCAACCTTAGCTTCCCCAAGTCCCAATCTCATGTTGACTTAGTTCCTAAGACCACAGTGCTCAGCATGGGTACACATTGGCCTGGAAAGTGCTTCCAAGCTAGGGAAGCCAGCTGTGCAGTGTTGGTGTGTTTCATGGCTTGGATTTTATATTTTACAGCATGCAAAGCAGCAGGTTTCCTTAAGAGGGAGAGTGTGTGGTACCACCTTTATTCCTACACCTCTTTCCTGGTTCAAACCCTTCTGCCCGCAGGATTTTCACTATCTTACACATTTTAGTACTCTCCTGCTTCTCTTAAAGTTTGTTTTTTCTTCTCTCATAGGCCCTTTTCTAGTTTCCTGTAATTTATACCATCTCACCCTCCACATAGATGTGAATTTGTATAAATTAGAACTTGAGTCCAAATTCATGAGAGCACAAGCAGTTTTTGTATTTCTGAGACTGTTACCTCACAATATAAGTTTCCAATTCTATCCATTTTCCTGAAAATTGCATAATTTCATTTTCTTTAAGGCTAAATAATTTTATATATCACATTTTCCTTGCCCTTTCTCATCTGTTGATGACATCTGGGTTGATTCCTTCTCCTTAGTGTTGGGAATAGAGCAGCAATAAACATGGATGAACAAGTATCTCTGAAGTATGTTATAGCCTTGGGGCATATGCCCAGGAGTAGAAGAAGTTTATTAGTTTGAGATTTAGGCTTTTTTTTTTTTTTAATTTATTATGTATACAACATTCTACTTCCATGTATATCTGCACACCAGCAGAGGGCACCAGATCTCATAATGGATGGTGGTGAGCCACCACATGGTTGCTGGGAATTGAACTCAGG